CCGGCAACCACAGCCACTCGGTCTTGGAAGGGTTGAGTCTGAGTCTGTTCCTCCCCATCCAGACCCGTACGGCCTCCAGGCAGCGGGTCATCACGTCAAGGGCATCGTTGGGGTGACCTGGGGTGGAGATGTACAGCTGAGTATCATCAGCGTACTGATGGAACTCCACCCCAAAGCCCCGAATGATCTCTCCCAGCGGTTTGAGAGAAGGTGTTCTAACATTCATCTGCCTGTGAGTCCCTCATTCCGTGTTCCGCACGCAGGATCATGGGAGACCCTGAAGCCTTTCATAGATACGTTTTCCAGTCTGGATATACTCATTTCTTTTCGGAGGATTTCACTGTCTTCTCTGTCCCTGCTCAACGTGTCCGAATCCTCCTGAACGCAGAGCCCAAAACTGCAATATTCACAACGGGATCCGATTAAATCCGAATCAAGTGGAATGATGATTTCCCACGATCTGGAAATTGAACCTCTGCTGTTGCGGCCTGAAATTACATTTGGTTTTCGTGGAGCCAAACGGCAGAGCTGCGAGGTCAAGCCAGGGGCCATATTCCATCTGTGAACACCTGTCCATCTGAGGTTGGCTTTTCAGCAAAGAATTTTGCTTTTGGTTTCCTGGATTTCCTTCTGTTGCTTTCAAACTCTCTCTCTCTAAATCTCTGAAGATTGCTCCTGCCTGCTAGAATGTGAATCGCTGGAGATTTTTAAGATGAGGTTAGACAGCCATTTGTCCAGAACGGTGTAGGGTCTCCTGCTTGAGCAGGGGGTTGGACTAGAAGACCTCCAAAGTCCCTTTCAACTGTGTTATTCTATGATTCTGTAAGGGTCTCCTGCTTGAGCAGGGGGTTGGACTAGAAGTCCCTTCCAATTCTGTTGTTGTTTTTAAGAGAAACAAAGAAAAACCAAATGTACAGGTATGGTATAGGGGGTACCTTGCTCAATAGTAGTAACTGTGAGAGGGACTTCGGAGTCCTAGTGGACAATCACTTAAATATGAGCCAGCCTTGTGCTGCAGCTGCCAAAAAGGCCAACACAGTGTTGGGCTGCATTAACAGAGGGATAGAATCAAGATCACGTGAAGTATTAATACCACTTTACAATGCCTTGGTAAGGCCACACTTGGAATATGGCATCCAGTTTTGGTCACCACAATGTAAAAAAAAATGCTGAGACTCTAGAAAGAGTACAGAGAAGAGCAACAAAGATGATCAGGGGACTGGAGGCAGAAACATATACGGAAAGGCTGCTGGAATTGGGTATGTCTAGTTTAACGAAGAGAAGGACGAGGGGGGACATGATAGCAGTCTTCCAATATTTCAGGGGCTGCCCCAAAGAAGAGGGAGTCAAGCTATTCTCCAAAGCCCCTGAAGGCAGGACAAGAAGCAACGGATGGAAACTAATCAAGGAGAGAAGCAACTTAGAACTAAGGAGAAACTTCCTGACAGTTAGAACAATTAACCAGTGGAACAACCTGCCTCCAGAAGCAGTGAATGCTCCAACACTGGAAGTTTTTAAGAAGAGACTGGACAGCCATTTGTCTGAAATGGTATAGGGTTTCCTGCCTGAGCAGGGGGTTGGACTCGATGACCTCCAAGGTCCCTTCCAACTTTATTACTATTATTATTATTATTATTATTATTATTATTATTATTATTATTATTATTATTATTATTATTATTATTATTTATTATTATTATTATTATTATTATTATTATTATTGTTATTATTATTATTATTTGCAGAGGAGGATTCAGGTGGAATCTGAAGTTCCCACGTGAAAACCACGTTCAGCTAATTCCCCATTGTTCAAACCCCACCCCAACACCCCCTTATTAAATATTTTCAGGGGTCTGGAGGCTAAACTGTATGATGGATGGTTAAGGGAAGTGGGCAGGTCTAATCTAACGAAGGGAAAGACTATGGGTGACATAATAGCACTCGTCCAATATTTGAGGGGATGCCATAGAGAAGGAGGGGGTTGACCTATTTCCAGAGCATGAGAATGCAGGACAAGAAATAATGGGATGGAATCAGGAAGAGAATCAATATAGAGCTAAGGAGAAATTTCCTGACAGTGAGAACAATTAACCAGTGGAAATGCTTGCCTTCAGAAGTTGTGGGTGCTCCATCACTGGAGGTTTTTAAGAGACTGGACAGCCATTTGTCTGAGCAGGGGTTGGACTAGAAGACCTCCAAGGTCCCTTCCAGCTCTGTTCTTCTATTATTCACTGGGCCAAAAATCAACCAGAGATAGAGAGATAGAGAGAGAGAGAGAGAGAGAGAGACAGACAGACAGACAGACAGAAAAAAAGAGAAAAGAGAGACAGAGAGACGGAGACATAGAGAGACAGATAGAGAGAGACAGAAAGATTGAGAGAGAGAGGAGAGAAAGAGAGACACAGACAGAAAAAAAGAGACAGAGAGAGAGAGAGGAAAGAGAGACAGAGAGAGAGAGAGAGAGAGAGAGAGAGAGAGAGAGAGAGAGAGAGANAGCAATAGACATCACTTTTTACAATATATTAAAAAAATAAAAAATAAAAATGGTACTAACATTAATAGTAAATAATAACGTCCCTGTTAAGAAAATACATGTTCCCAAAACGTTAGGGTCGCTCCCTAGTTTACGTGAGTGGATAGCCGATTAGTGTGTGAGTAAGTATAATGTTCCAAACATTGTTAGAGATATCTCCCAAAAATTGGCACAAGTTGACGGCTATCAATCTGTAACCGATTTTTTTTCTTGTGGACATTGCCGCAACACAGTATTTTGCCACTGCATGCGTGATAGAAGGGTTTGAGTCCTGGAGGAGAAAGTCTACATAAAAATTGTCTGCCCTCCCTGGCAATCTCTCTAATAAGGGGAGAATATATGCTTGACCTATAAACTCGGTATAACTCACAGTACAATAAAACATGTGAGATGTCTTCGACTTCTCCTTTACCACATACACATACCCGTTCTGCTCTTGGTGTTCTCTTATACCTGCCCTGGAGGAGTGCTGAGGGAAGAATGTTAAATCTGGCTCTGAAGAAAGCTATTTTTTGTTTTGGGAAGGTCAGATCATTCAGATATCTTGCCGATTCCCACACACCCTGTTTGATTCTATCCCTACTGTAAGGACCCACCCC